TACTTCACTCATTCGCCTCTACAGTCCGGTTTGCGAACGCGTCAGCAAATCCTTCCGTTCGTTTCTTCAGCACCTCTGAAGTACAAAGAGTTGAGAAAACATAATTTGCGTAGGCTAGTGGCGAGAACGAATCCCGGACCGTACCCCAGGTCAGGCAGAATTTCCCATACCTCCAAGGTCAGCCAATATCAATATCACTTTGTCTACGGTGGCCAAAACACGACTTGTAGATTGAGTGGCTTACAACTCTTTCTATAGGCCGTACCGCATTGGAATGTCACTACCAATGCAAATGCAATGATTCTGAATTTAATGAATGCGCATATTCCAAAAAGTAATAGTTCAACACCAAACACTTTAATCTCTGTAATTTCGAGCGCAGTAGCAAATTTACAAATTTTTTCGTAGGGAAGACTAGACCTGTAAAACACGGCTGGTGAGCTACGGTAAAGTGGGCACAACTGCTTAGTATTAGGTGACCTTTAGGCATAGAAGCCCTTTACCGGATGAAACACCAAGTTTTAGTGGTCATAAAACTATTCCCAACGTTTATTTTCTCCTTCATGCATTCTTGCATGAAGCTCCTTCACTGATAGTGAAGTGAGAAATTGAGAACAAAACCAGGATGAAATGATCGATTTCCATGTTCTCACCTGGTCGGCTGTACATTCGAACATCGGTGATGTTATCAATCTCGTCCTTTCACAACTTTCATCGACTAAAATAAAGGAATGCGACACCATTCAGATGGAACTTTACAAACGGAATACTAATATCATACCGAGGAGACTTGCTTATAAACTTCTGTATCGCCCACTTTCTCTGCAATTTTCTCCACATGTTCTGCAGCAATGCGTGCCTATAAATGCAAATTGTTCATTCAAAAGACCAAGATAAAGGGAGAGCATAATAATAGCATAATAAAAACAGCATAAAACTTCAACAGGGTTACTTGGAATAACTAAAACTTGCCTGTTTCAATGCTTCAGCACCAGCAGCTGTCATTTTCTTTCCAGCTTCTGTTTGCTGGATCTCATGGACCATCTATAACA